TATATACACATATACATATAAAGGCCTGTTTTATCATCAGTTTGTATACGATAAATAGCACTTATTATAGAAGTAAGTGTGAAGCAAACCACATATCCACCCATTTTCTTTTCATTGGAGTTTCAATTATCGTAAACGACGTGTTTCAGGAAAATAAGAACAGACAGAAATAATAATGTCACACAGATAGCAAGATAAATCAGGTCAAGATTCACTCTGAGAAGTGAATAAACATTGTCATTTTCATACATATATATGCATATAACATAGTACATATTGCAGTAAATATAGAGTTACATATGCGAATGAATACCTTCTCCCTAGGTCAGACATGTCCGTATAACATAATTTAGGAATGAGATTATGTTTTTGGAATGGACTTCATCTGAACAGACTAATAATATGCCATTGAGCTTAGACATTTGCTCTTCGGGTGTCTGAAGTCTGATGCACTCTGGCAACAGTTGCTCTCGTATTTCATTATATTGTGAACATCTGAACAAACATGGAATTCATTTACTACATACTTTTCATCACACTGGAGGCAACGATTACTGACGGAACTCATTTTTTTCAACGACAAACTGAAAGTTCTGAGTAATGCAAGGACTCTTCTACCTCTTGCAGAGATGGTGAAAGATAGGTACGGAGCAGGGCTTAACATAGGATGGAAATCCAAGTACTCAGGTTAAACGTCAGACACCTCAGAACGCCAGTCCTGGTGACTTATATTTATCAGTTTTTCCTTGACTTGAGATAGGAAAATTTCTTGTCACCAACATTTTGAAAAAAAAAGAACATTTATCCAAACCCTATTGTACATAACAGTTTCCCCGTGTCAGTGGCTCTGCTGTAACGATTATTTTGGTTATGCACACGCTTGCAAAATAATATTTCTTAGCATACCTTTTATTATCCATTACCAGTATACCAATATTTTATTGCTCGTAGATCTAGATGATAAGTAGCATACAAGCTTTAATGATGACGTCCACATTCCCCCATTGCCAAAATGAGAGAGATAGAGAGAGAGAGAGGGGGGGG